GGCAAAGAATGGAGATTGAGTGACACCAAAATGGTTTGTGACTTTGTGTTGATTTTGCTGAATTGTTCATTTTTGAAAAAAAAATTAAATGTCAAAATGGCCAGTTTTGATATTTTCAGAATGAACCGTTCCATTTTTTTGTTTGAAATGAATTCTCATTTAGAAAACTCCTTTAAGTTTATTTTATTTTCAAAAAGCTTGAAATCAAAATGAAACTCATCAAAAAATATTTCTGGTTGAATTTTGTTTAGATTTTGATTTGCTGAAAACTTTGAAATTTTTCAATTTCTGTCCAGTTCAGATTGAATTTTCTTTTTATGTTTCAAAATTTCCAACAAATGATAAATCTGTTTGGGTTTTTATTGCCCAGTTCCAGTGAATTCACGTTGTAGCTCAAGTGGTCAAATCCCGTCCACACAAACTCCTTGTTCACGCGCAGAGCTGCTGTTAACTCAAGCTGGCTGGGCCATCAGGGGGTACAGACTAAAGCTCGAGTGAGGACAATTCATTAGCTGCCAACTTGGCCACTGTGTCATGTGGATGCAATTTTAAGAGGACCCCCTAGATACTGATCCCGGCTCTTCTTGCTGCTGGCACAACCTGGCAGCAGGGTTACAAATGCAAGACAACGGCCTCCTCTTGGTTGTTTCTACTGTGTTCAGGTAAACAGGGCTACGATAAGAACGGCCAGACTAGGTCAGACCAATGGGCCATGTGTGATGTTATATATAAGAACTGGGACCGTATAGATCATTGTTGCAACAAAGGTCCTGTAGTACCACCAAATCTTGTAGAAAGGGGGTCAAAGAAGGTGTCTAAAACAAGGTTCTGGTTTGCTGGTTATGATGATGCTGTCTGGGTGCATGGATCATTTGTGTATTTAAAGTTTTATAAGTATTGGCTCTATCCCTTCATTTCCCCAGCCAGCTCCAAACTGAAACTCTCCAGCCGCTTCTCTGGCCTTTGTCTCTTTTCCCGGCCAAAGGTGTCAGCTGGTCGCACCCCCCTCCTGGGTCTCATGTTACACAGGTGCAAATAGCTGGGCTGTCTCACCTGCCCCAAGGGCCTCAGCAAAATCACACACCAAATTCCCACCACCTAAGTACTGGTGCAGCACACAGGGAAACTGAGGTACATACAGTATTAGTATAGGACAGTAAGACTCACATGCAACATAACAAGATGAATAAAACCCCACTTCGTCACATATGCCATGTAAGATATCTGCAAAAATGTTATAATTTGCCAGATATGATAGTCGTGTTTATATGTTTGTATCGCCTTTGTATTATGAGTTATAGATATGTATGTACGTCTGTATTTCAAACTTGTGCTATGCTTCTGGGTGACACCCAGACAGTTTGGCATCAACACTGCCTGGCCTGCTGGATGGCCCATTAAGGCCCATCAGCGACACAACTGACCCATTGAGAGAAGGGAGATACACCCTGTGACTCAGCAAGGCAGGGACAGGCCTGTTGGGATCCACTAGGCATAGCTACCAGGTAACTCGGGAGAGTGGAAAGCCAAAGTGTCGATGAAACTCTTTTGCTCTGGGCCTATCTGAAACCCCCAGACTCCATCTTGTGAACTGTCATCTACTTCTGTGCTAACTGCTTACATGTTAAAGCAGAAATGTATTGGTCAGCGTTTCTAGCAAATGGCTGCAGTTTCACTCACACTAGCAGAAATAATAAAGATAAGGAGGAGGGAACAGAGAGAGATAGTTAGTTTGCAGCCGCTTTCCCATATATCCCCAAGGTATTTAGTGCAAAGGGTCAAGGGATGTACCTTGTTCTCCCTTCAAAATGACAAATGTATCCGCAACAGATGTCTCTTGTATCCCCCCTCCCCAAAATAATATATGTATCCTGTGTAACCTAGTATCTATCGGTCAGCATAATGACGCAAAAGAATGAATGCTAAGTTGTTTGTCTCTCTGTATAAAAGAAGCTCGGTTGTGCTTGTAAGGTGTGTCTCTTCTGGCATAAGTCGAGGAGCACCCTCTCAGCTGACTGACAAATAAAGGACCTGGTACCCGTCTTCTTGTCTCTCCGTGCCTCCTTGGTGTAATTAGGTAAGCTCCGGGGGGAAACGGGCCCTATTTGGCCAACAGGCCTAGGGACAGAACTCTGAGGTTTTTCATGCCATGTGCTGGGCAGCTTGTGTTTGGGACAAAGGAAGCAGAGACCACATGGCAAAAGGACTGTAAAAGGCAGCTGCATCTTCTCCATCTTGTCTTCAGTCCTGTGTCTTTCCTCTGGAGGGACTTTGCTACAAACCGAACCTCTGAACAAAGGACTGAGGACCCATCCCAGCTGGGGATGTTTCAGAGACTTGATTTGAACCTGCAGTTTATTCTATCGCTGCTGCAAGCCTGAGCCAAGAACTTTTAAACTCTCATCTATAGTTCTTTCTCTTTATGAATAAACCTTTAGATTTTAGATGCTAAAGGATTGGCAACAGCGTGATTTGTGGGTAAGATCTGATTTGTATATTGACCTGGGTCTGGGGCTTGGTCCTTTGGGATCGAGAGAAACTTTTTTCTTTTACTGGGGTATTGGTTTTCATAACCATTCGTCCCCATAACGAGCGGCACTGGTGGTGATACTGGGAAACTGGAGTGTCTGAGGGAATTGCTTGTACGATTTGTGGTTAGCCAGTGGGGTGAGACCGAAGTCCTCTCTGTCTGGCTGGTTTGCTGCCTTACTAGTAAAGGATCCCCAGCCTTGGGCTGTAACTGCCCTGCTCCAAGCAATTTTCCTGAATTGATGCTCTCAGCAGTGTCCCACCAAAGCTCGCTTTGTTACACCTCCTCACTCTTCTCTTCTGCCGACTAAACAATCCCAGTTCCCTCAGCCTCTCCTCATAAGTCATGTGCTCCAGACCCCTCATCATTTTTGTTGCCCTCCGCTGGATTTAGATTTCCAAGACTGGGGTTTTCTTCTCCATTTCAAGGTCTTTCCAGTAACTTCCAGGGGTCCCCGTTGCCTCTTCCTGGCTGGACAATGGATGGGAACTTGACGTTAGTTTTGTCTAAACAGCTAGTCTGGGGGGAGCCGCTCCCTGCTGGGAGGTGCACTTGGGATTGTGGTACAGGTCAGGGGCGAAGCATTCTCTGTACAGGGACACACAGACTCAGCACCATGGTCTGTACAGATCTCCTAATGACCACCCAGCTCAGAACATTACAAGTGTTCATCACAGACCTCACCGGACATATTTTATACCCGCTAATGTTGCAGACACCGGTTGGGTCAACTGCTCCCTCCTGGGGGTTCAGACCCCCCCCTGTTCTCCCCTTGGGGTGGCTGGACCCTGCGTGTCACAGCAGGAGAACAGTGATAAGATCGGGAGCGCTGGAAATCTTGGGGCTCAGCCTTGGGTTTGGAAAAGTGCATTTCCTGTCATTCAGCTGTGAACGTATCAGCAGCGCAGCGGGGCACTAGCCAGCTGTGGTGTTGAGTGGCACTTCTAGTGGCTTCCTCATGGTGAGAACAAAATAACCCCCCCCCACCCCCCACTGTGACTTACAGGAACCCCAACTGCAAGGGCTTTGCAAAGTGAGGTTACTTAGTCCAGGTCTGAAGTCTGCCTAGCAACAGGATTTACATGAACATTTAGATGAATCTTGGGTGAAGTAATGTCATTGTCTATATGACTCTTTAAAGTTTGTGATAAACTGCTTAATGGATAAATTACCTTATGTTAATCCATGTAGTTAATTACCGGTGCGGTTTGGGAAACAGAAGGTTACATCAAAGGCCTATTGTTGATCCAAGAATTCTGCGCTGCCAGGAACTGTATAAAGGACTCTTGGACCTGATCCTTTCATCTCAGATCTGCTTGTGCTTCATCAGCAGGGCCGGCTCTAGGCACCAGCGTTCCAAGCATGTGCTTGGGGCGGCTCTTCTCAAGGGGCAGCACTCCCTTTTTTTTTGTTCTTCTTCTTTTTTTTTTGCTTTAGCGGCAAAAAACCTGGAGCTAGTGCTTTATCAGGGAAGGCACTGAGCTGCCAGAGGGAGATCTCAGTCTCATCTAGATCACTCTGGGTATGAGACATTGGACTGAATCTATGGACGAATTCTAAGAGCTCTTGGAACTGCAAAGCTCCCCATCGCTACCATGAAACTGATCTCAGAACTGTTCTCATGTCTGTGTGTGTATTGATCTTTTAACCAATACTCACTCTCTTTTCTTTTCTTAAAAATAATGTTTAGTTTAGTTAATAAGGATTGGCTGTAAGTGTGTATTTGGGTAAGATCTGAAATATTCATTAACCTGGGAGGTAATGTGTCCGACCCTTTGGGATTGGGAGAATGTTCTTATACGATGAATAAGATTTTCAGTATCCTCCTCATATTTGACTGGGTTGTCTGGGTGGAAGCCCAAAGGCTGGGTTGTTTTTAAGGGAACGGTGTTTTGGCTTCTGTGTAACCAGTGAGGTATTGTGGAAGCTGTTCTGTTGTTAGCTGGGTGGATCTCAGTATTAGAATAACCACCAGCTTTGGGGACTGTCTGCCCCATTCTTTGCAGTTTGTCTAGATTGGGTAACCTCAGTGTGGTCCCCCTGG